ATCGATTGGAGTGCTATGTACAAAGCTGTGAGCGGGTCATCGTGTGACCGGCGCACGCGGCGGTGTGCTGCGGAGGCGGGGGGGCGGGGGCGGGGAGCGAGGAACGGACCCCACCCCCGCGCGCCCTGCGCACACCAGCTAACCTAAGCACATATTCACATCGCTATAAACACCAAAACATCACAATTAATATGGTTGAATCACATCAATAAACTATTTAAACTATCCAAATACATGAATTGTCGCGAGGGCATTACATCGAGTTGATAACGCTAAGAGAGCGACGTAATTAAATGCGCTGCGCATGTTCGAAGAATGTTCGCGCATCATCCTCGGCTGCCACACAACTGCAGACGTACAAACTACTTGTTCTCGTGTTATATCTAAAATTATTTTCTTATTTAACACATAAATACCGGCGTATCTTATATGTTAGTAGACGGACGACGAAAGATGCCGTCCTTTACCTATATTGGCAGAGATAGACAGAGTTTTTAAAGTTGTTTTTAGCTTATAAAGGTAATGAAAGCAAAGATAGTAAATTTGATTAATGATGCATGATGTTAGAATAATAATAATAAATGTAAGCGACGCACTAAGAGACGAGAATGAACTATATATAAATTCCCGCTATCAAAGGCGAACTGAGGTAAACTGTCATGGACAAATAAACCTTTATGTTTTTCAATATTTCGCAACACATTAACCTCTCCACTGCTGGGGCACACGTACACGTACACGGTGACATTAAATACAATGTGTGACTTTTGTTAATTTAGATTATTATTGGTCCAATATAGATAGATACAAATAATATTTACATTATTATGAAAGTGTGTAAAGTATCACATTAACAAGTAAAATTAGCAAACAAACAAACAAACGAGTCGCGCACATTGAAAAACATAAGCAATTAACTAATCTAAAATTGTCCTTTAAATCAGACGTGCTTGTTTTTTGAACTATTTAGTACTTCGATTTAGATTTTCTTGTTTAATTTAGTATTAAAATGGAAATAAATATATCTTTTAAAAGCAAATAGTGTCGGCTAAATAACTTTTATGTTGTGGCAGTAACCTAACCTTTGGACGGATTTCCAAGTGAAGTGAGTGCTGGCGTACAAACCACACGATACGTTACTATACAGTTATGTACATAAATATATGTGGACCGGAGAAGCGGCGCGGTGCGGTAACACATATATCAATGGGGAGAAAAACTGCCTTTTGCTAACTATACATGTCAGCATCAAGAATGGAAGTAGCGCTAAATGTACCACAGATAAACAAAAAACACTTTATATAAACACAAAGTACTATGTAGACTGCAGTCATAGCAAAGAATTCCATCAAATTTACACACTAAGAATATAACTAGATTAACTGTTCGGGTACACCTGGAAATGACAGATATTTTGCGTCATGAATAAATTGGTTAAACTTGTTTTTGTCATAAAAACATAAAGTTAAAAGATATTTTCCAGCAAATCTTCAACCGGAAAAAAAAATACCTTTAACTATAATTTTTTATAGTTGGACTCACGTGAATAACATTTAGGTTGCCCTTTGTTAGGTCAAATTTTATTTTAAAAAATCAAAAATAAACATTGTTTTTTATAATTGTTTATAGATGTTTCATAGAAGTTCATAAAAATATTATAAAAGGAATATATTCCTTTTAATCGCTGAAAAGATGTATAAAGTTTAACAGATGACAGTCCAGTCCTGACGCTAGTTCAACATAGTTACAAGCTTTCAGTTTTTCTCCCCATTAAAACAAGCACTTCCAAATTTAACCGTCTTACATACACATGTGTTACATTGGAATAATTTTGAATGAAATAATATATAAATGCCCTTGAAATAACAAACAATAGAAATGGCAAGGAAGAGATGGGACGGGGCGTAGAGTTAGGGCACGTTACATTGTACGTCTTGAAATATGTTATAAAACATTTTAGCTTAAACTATACATATTCACATATGCCGAGATATGCCCCTTCCCAAACTCCTGGCGATAGCTACAAATGCCTTTTTAATAGACTAACACTAAACAAGCCATATTGCAATTCATTAATAATTAATTACACATAATTAAAAAGAATAATATCGGGAGGCGTATGTGAATGGATGTAGAGGCGGTGCCGGGGATACAGTTGGGCGAGGCGCACCCGCCGCTATCAATATCACCTCAACAATAGCCTTCAATTAATTCATATGTAACTACGTATAGTGTGTATAAATAAAGAAAATCTCGCTGCTGTCAAATGTAAATAATTTCTTTGCAATAGACAGATGTAACCACCATTCGAAAAATACTTTTTTTTTATTAATTTTGATGCACGTTTTTATACAATCCAGGTGAGCTTCGAATAACATAATTAGAGATGCTCGAAATGAAATCAGAACAGATTACGACGGAAAAGGATAGAAGATAGACAGTGAGAGAGACAGTGACTGCACTGGCGCATGCCGATGCACAGAGCGGCGAGAGCGGACAGTCAGGTCACCGTCCAACGCGCATCGCGCATCGCGTTACACAACACATATCTTACATACAACACATCTAATAAAATACAAACAATCATAACATTTGTGTGTTGTATTGACTGCTTAATTAAATATTGTTTTATAATAAAAATCCACACGTTTTAGTCGTAAATACGTGATCACTGGAACACCGACTGTGTAAATCACAGAATAGTACATGCTGCACAATCGAATACACCCGAGCGTGTGGGCCGCCTGTTGCTGGGGGTGGTGGGGTAAGAGAGAGAAGGCAGGGGCGGGGGCGGGGGGTGGATTACATTCGGCAGGGTGATGTCGGCGGCGGTGTAGGCTGCGGGCTCCGGCAGCAGCGTTCTCTATGTGATGAGGGAGGCTCATTTCTTGGTGGGCGTGCCGCGCTGCGTCAGGCCCTCGAAGCGCTTGAACGTGTAGTTTATGAACACCCAGTCTTTGTACGCCACTTCGCCCTCTTGTGATATAGGCGCCGCCGCTGTAACGTAAACGATATTTTCTTAAATTATGCGGAAAAGATAATGCACCTTTATCTCATTCAAAAGTCGTCGATATGAAATCGTTGATTGTAGTTATTAATCGTATTATTCCCCATTTTTAAATTTGTAAAAAAAATTCTGTTAATATTACGAGTTTCATATCGCATTTAGGCCAGAATTTATATCCATGCAGGAGGCTGTATTTACTATGAATATTAAAATGTTTGTATACTCACGTATTTCCAGCTTGACGTCGGGGAAATCGTCAAAGTTGGATGTGTCATCAATGGAGCGCACGTCCACAGTGATGGCGGCGGGACGCTCTCGCACGTGGCTCCAGTCTACGCCACGGAAGAAGTTCACAGACTTCACGTCCTCGATGCCGCGCTGAGAGCCCAGTCTAATACAAAGGATTTTTAAATATAAATAATGTCCTAAGGGTACGGACGACTTTCCTACCACATTGACAAACTATTGTTACCACCGACAAACTAACCATTTAACAGACATTCTAAAATGAGGTGTCATCTGATATCTAGACAGTGATGTCTAGATTTCTACTACAGTTTCAACGATACATCTTTATAAATAATTAGTTCTATTAATTAACACTTTCATGAATGAAATACAACTTTCTTTATACCTGCGATCTGGTTCGGAGCAGAAGCGCAGTATGGTCTCCCGGGCATCCTCGCTGATCGGTATCTCAGGCGGAAAGGTGAGGGACTCGCGCCACGACATCACCTTCCGGTACGTCTCCTGCGGAGACTCGGAGCAGAACGGCGGGTATCCAATCAGCATCTCGTACCTGATCATATAGTGTTACTTATTACAAGCTAAAGCCAAAACTACGACTAAATGTGACGCTAGCAACAACATACAAGTCGCAACAGTAAGTCACAGTATATATGATTATTTTAACACATAAAATAATGTAATACTTTTGTTGTAAGATGGACCATATCAATAAGTCTCTTAATAAATCTTTTATGGTAATATGCAGTAATTAATAGTACAAAGAGCTGTACTATTCATAACATTTGTTCCTACGCAAGCGGTGAAGTAGCATTTTCAATTGTTAGTATAAATGTTATTAACAAAAATGATATTGAGGTACAAATATAAATGTTGAAACATAACTCTTTTTTAGTTAAACTAAAATTAATTGAAGTTATTAAACAGATACTGAGTTACTGTTCATGATAAGAATTGATTTCGCGGCAGAAGCAATATATTTTACAAACTGAATTCGCTAATTATTTATCACTAACTTAATATACATAAGGTAAGCGATGCACCTGCAATAATTATGTTGTTTTTGATATTTAAGGGTAAGAGTCTAACATTAGGTGACATAGGTTAGTTTGCCACCTCTTAGTATAAAATATATATATGTATATTAAATACAAGCGCCAATGAGCTTCAATTAGATATAGATATGACGCTATTAAACATAATTGAGTATTTACTACATTGCTACAATTCGCTATGCCATCGCTTACTCTCGCATAAACCAGCATATGTTTAGCTTTTATAATTTGTAGTGTACAAATTTCGCATAAAACAAATAGAACAGCTAAGCACATTTCATGGAAGAAAATTGTTTGGGAAGGGTTCAATATTTATTTTAAATATTTAAAGTAATCATTGATCCATACAACAAAAATCAAACATTTTTGTCTACATTTGACTGAATATTAGGGAATGTAAACTTAATAAATAAATAAAAACATGTATAATCGTTAATCGCAAGCGTGGGGATGGGTGAGGAATGGCAAGCGGAGCGTGTGGGGGCTTGTCATCAGAATCAGTATATGTAAATACTAACATGATAACGCCGAGACTCCACCAGTCCGCCTGTGGGCCGTAGCCGGTCTGCAAGAAGACCTCAGGTGCGATATAATCAGGCGTTCCTACTGTGGAGTAGGCGAGCGCACGTCGGTTGCGTTTCCAAGACTCCGCGCGACGCTTTGAATCCATTGCCGATGATGACGTCGATACTGCAGACAAACACACAATAGCTCACAACACTGCATCATACATACAATATAACTAGGAGGACTAGCAAATGTAAACCGATCAAATTCCACTTCAATAACTATTTTTATTCAAACATATTACTGTCAGTTTTATATTTAAAAGAAGCGGTTGTATATGTTTTTGTAAATGTTAAGTGACAGTGGAAATTCAAGGTAATACATTGGTGCTATGTGAAATGATATTATTTATTATAGTGAAGACCAATTCATTTTATTTTATGTGAGACTGAAGCGTTTATTGATTATTCATTAAAAAACTTTGATAATGAAAATTGTTAATAAGAAATATTGCTTGCTATATTACCGACCAACATAAAATTACAATTCCTAAACAAATAAATGAAGTCATCCATTATAGAAATTATTTAAATTAGTCAAGTATTATAATGTAAGCTAATATTGATCGGTCATATAATATAAGCACCAAATATACAAATTTAAATAATGAATTATTATTCTATTAGTGACGAATAACGATAGCAAAAGGGGAAATTTATGCATAAAATTGACTTATAAATAGCATGTATGGATGTAATATAATGTTATAACACTGACCTGACTGGGTGTTGTAAATCCATTGTGGTAGATACTCACTGAAATCGGAGGGAGTGGCGCGAGACAGATCGCGGTAGAAATCTGTGCGATGGCTCTTCTTGAGGCCGGTACAAAGACCGAAATCACTAAGTTTGATATGTCCGCGCGCATCCAGTAACAAGTTATCAGGCTTTATGTCCCTGAAACATACGACACAATACATTCCATGAAACTACGACTTCTTTCATATGAAATTAACTTGATGAGTTGAGGATTGAATGTTTTTTAAATTATTGGTTGAAATGTTCTAGCAATTTTTTTTGGAAGTCGTTTCGCTTTAGAATACGCTCGGTTGTGTTTACTAAATGATGTCTATAAGAGATGTATTTTTTCTAACAGTACCTGTGTATAAAGCCTAGCTTGTGTATACTGTCGATGGCGAGCGCGGTCTCGGCCACGTAGAACTGTGCGCAGTCCTCGCTAAGAGTATCTTTCTTCATGAGTAGCGTCATCATATCGCCTCCAGGAAGGAACTCCATGATGAGGTACAGGTTCATGGGGTCTTGGAAACTGTAGTACATTTTCACCACCCACTGATGATCCGCCTCAACAAGGATGTCGCGTTCAGCTCGCACATGCGCCACCTGTAACATTTTATTATTCAATAAGTTCTTATGTTCCCCGGGGATTTAATCTTGGTGTTGGAACCATGAAAGTGAGTCCCAACCTGTAGCAAGCCTTTGCGGAATCTCAAAGAATCTCGTCGACGTTTTTCGTGACCGAGAGGGTCATAAATTAATTTTAAATGCAAAAATAACACAAAGCATTTATTACCAAAAATATTGAAATAAAAATGTCACCTGTTCTTTTTCAAGCATGTCCGCTTTCCTTAGTATTTTCATAGCATACACGTGCCCAGTGTCTTTCTTTTGCACGAGCCGCACCTCGCCAAACGCTCCGCGTCCTATCACCTGTCAACAATCAAACATTTTACTACAATTTATGACTATTTTTTGTTAGTTTCTTTATGCATTAGATATATAAGCGGGAATAAGTTGCACATTATTAATAAGTACTTTTTATAAAAAGGATAACAGGAGGCGTAATTGAATCTGACGAACCTTGAGCGGCTCGAAATCTTCAACACCGAGACGCGATCGCTTCAGCCTGAGGAATTCTGTCTCTTTCTGCGCGTGCTGCTGCCGCTTCTCCTGCTTCTGACTCTCTGTGAGATTCTCATCTTTGAGAGACTCTTCGAGTTTTTCCAGTCTGAACAAAACGGTACATACTATTACCATGTTAAACAAAACATACAAAGACGCGATAAAATAAGTCTACATACAATAAAATTCGACAATAATTCGAAAATCAAATATAATGAAAAAAATAATTGTCATAAAAGGATCCAGAACAGAAGCAAGGTAACCGTCAATGCTAAAAGAATACTTAACATAAATGCCACAATGCGATCCATGTTCAATGCCACTTTGATTTTCACGTACTAAAATGAACTTAAGGCGAGGCTAGTAAATAAGTTAGTGTCAATCTTTCGAACACTTAACATGATGTGGAATCTTGATGAATCGCTAGTTTATTTGTTAGACTGATTAAATATTGCAGGAAGCTATATGAAAGTTATATAATTACCTCTGTTTCCTCTCATAGTGCTGGGCGATGAGATTCGTATAGAAGTTTTCAAGGGTGACCTTGGCCTTGGTGGCCTTGTCTAGGGTGTGCCCGCTGAAGCGGACGCTGTCGCTGCCCGTCATCTCCAGCACCCCTGCAACAACACGCGCGCCGCTCATCACCCACCTTTATTATAACAACAAACAAGTCACATGTTAAAAACAAAACAATACTAATAAACACTTTATTAACATTTATTAATTCCTTGTTTTCAATTTCTGTACATCCGAAATAAACTAAAACAACACTGTTATTTTTATTACGCTTATGAGTGACGTAAACCCTCAGCGGATTTTAGCGTCTATTAACTTAAAAATTACTGCTAATCACTAACAATGTAAACATGGGGTAAAAGTGTGACCATACCAGAACTTTATGAATATAAATAAAATTAGTTATCATAATTATATTTGAACAAAATATTATCTTTATTTGAAACCTATATCATAAATAGGCCTTTATAGGACTTGTTTATATTTCGTGAATAATACAACTGGAGTGTTTTCACGATAGCTTATAGATGACGTCACTCTATGGTTATGTGAAGTCCGTAATGAAAGTACATAATGACGTCATTCAATTATACAATTAAAAATTACTTTAAATTAAACACATTAGGAGTATTAATGATATTATTGACATTTATGGTTTTTGGTATTCAGTAAAAAATAAACCATAATTAACTTAATTCTCAATAAACCAGATATTCATTGCAATGCCAAAGTCAAAACAATGTCAAAAGTACTAATAATATAAAAATAATGTCATAGTGCAAGCAAAAGTCTTTAAAATAAAAATACGAAAACAACACTAGACTTGATTTACACGAACGAGCTGCTTAGATCGAAAAACAACTAACCTATCTTTGGAATTAGACTATACTATATTTTAAAAGGCAATTATGTAGTGACAGAGTTAAGTAGTATTTTAGTTTAAACCCGGGACTTCTGACTTATTAACATTAACATTATTAAAAACAAATTATAAATCTACGTATTGTCTGTAACGTTATATAAAAGAACAAGAATAAACGACTGCATATGACTAACGATAATTGATTGGTTAACGGTGCTGTTCAAATTGCTACCATTACAATGCGAGAGGCCCCGCGCCTTTTTCGCGTCATTTTCACGCTACGTAATTCCTTCCATCCAGCCATCTAAATATACGCAACTATTAAACTAGTAAGATATTACCATCCCTTTCATTGCCTTTGAAAAAACACAGACAAAAATATGTATAAATAATAAATTTCTTTCATAAAAACATCCATTGAAATATGTAGTTTACAAGCTATACTGTTTTAGTATACATGACCTTTAGCGCAAAAAGAAAAGCTTGTAAACTTCTCTTTGTGATAAAACCAATTACAAAAGGCATCATTTTTAAAAACTTTAAGAGAGAATAACAATAATTATTGTTCTCTATGAGCTCATTGCCAAAGCATTCCAATATTCTATTTTATAAATAATGTTGTCATCATGTATCTAAAAATGAATGAAAATATAAAGTACTTTATTATAGAAAACATGATAATCTATATTAATATTAAATTAATAATTATATAAATTAATAACATATTTGTGTATTGCAAAGGAAAGTATTTAAATAAAGCAATAATTTTGCCTTCTAGTATACACTAACTGAACATGACATAAATTGTAACATCATATATAGGCAATAATCATAAATGTCAAAATTAGTTTTTCATCATCATAAACAACTGACACTCAAAGCATAATGCAAGCAAATGAAATAAAAAAAAAACTCTGGGCTTAGGAAATACACTTAACCGCACACCTGAAGATTGGTCTAGCCATGTCGGTTTTAGGAGGACTTCAATATGGTAGAATTATTTATTTGAACAAAGAAGATAGAAATAATTCATTTACTTGTTTACATTGTATTGATTCCAATAACACTTAAATTATTATGCTATTGATTGTGGAGGGTAATAGTAAAATGGGTGACAAGCATTACTACTGTCCTAACCTAACCATCAGCCTGTTAGTACTTCAAAATATTTTCTACTAAACAACTGCAAACTAAAGGAAATTCATTATTATAACCTAGCAACAAATGAATTTTAATAAATCAACACATTTAATATCCAAAAAGACTTACATCTTTAAGAGATTATTCCCTTATACATAGATCTGATATATAAAGAATCATTGTGTAAGAACAGTTAGAGCTTGCTCATGAGTGAACTTACCGGGTGGATGGGGCGCTGGCACAGGTGTATCTGGGGCCACCGTAGTGCCCGGGGTGCTTTTTCCCCAAGACACGGCTCCCTCTGTGTAAACAGGAAAATTTTGATATTAAATACAATTCTACAAAAGTTTTATCACATAATCTTGGTTTATATTCCCATTCAGCACAGTGGGTCATTTGGTTGGGTTCACTAGTTCCTGCCATCATGACAATACATATCACAAATCAGGTGACCTTCATGTTAGGATTTTTTTGCTATTAAACAATGTTATCATTTTATGTATCAAGTAATTATTTTCCTCAAAGTCACAACTGCTTCAGATTTTTAAGACAACTTTTATCTCATTTTAACAGCAATAATAAGTATTTTGAGAAAGGTGATGGGTCAACACCTGATAAAACATTATAGAACAAGTAATTAGCACTTGTTTTTATTGTTCAATGTTGTATGAATTGGCTAGTGCCAAAAACTTAGATAATTTAGTGGTCATATACATTTTTGTGCAATTAACAGTAAATATCAATGCTTTAGTACAATGTTTTACCTTACTAAAACATTATTGGAAAGTATTTTTCATTGTTCACTTTGAATAAAGACATCGCAGTCGTGCGCTGTACTTACAGCTGCTACTTATATTTATAGACACAAAAACGTTACATTATTGTAGACACAAGAGGTCATAGTATTTATCACTTTAGTTTTATATTATCTAATACATACCTTAATTGACACTACAGCACAAAAAATTTGCCTCTTCAACGCCTGTTCCTTCACACACTGTTAAATCGAACGGCATAAAACAATAATCTCGCACAAAAAAGTCTAAAATCGATAATATAAACCGTAACAATCGTTGCAGTAATGAAGAAATTAAAATAAGGTCACTGCTTTAGCGCTGCCAATATATATGCGGAACTCTGATTTGTGTTAGAAATCGCTGATTACTGTCTTGATGTTTAATCCTACACAAATTACTTATTGTAGTGCAAGAGCAGAATTAAAACTGTTAATTAAAACTATTCATCTCCATCCATCGCAAGAAATCGAGTACATAAATATGGAATGGAAGAAATGGCACAGAGGAAGGAAGTGAGGACTGAGGATGTAAGACAATACCACAGATAACTTTTGAGTAATTGAAAATTGACATACAGATAATAAAACTATCATGCTAGTTCTTCCAAAAAATAATCTCTTCGGAATGAAAGAAAGGCAATTTAATAAAATATCTTTTGTGGTCTGACATTTGTGAGTGTAATAATTATATCACAAGTTTATATGTCTTTTTAACACTTTTCGAATGAACTTTCTAATTTCTTAATGTGCTTCGACTTAATAGAAACGGACTAGGTAGAGCCGCTGTTGTACTAAATAAATTTAAAAAATTGTAAACTTATTCAGCATAGATGCAGGTCATCAATTATGAACACGATTTAAGGTATGACATAAAGGGATACTGGAGCGGGTACGCCTTTTACTTCACACGTAGTAAACTCATCTCACGCTGAGAAGACATGAACTCTCCGCTTATTTTCAGCCACCTTGAATTTTTGTTAACTCTGGCCAACAAAATAAAAAAATCCCTCTTACGAGGGCACCACATCTCCATTGACATTGTAACACTTTACATCTACGTCAATACATCAAACGAACTATAACGTCATTTAAAAATGAAATCCAGTATTTTAGATATATCCAACAATAATTGCCTGAATTTTATTCTGCGGCTATAAGTATTTTCCAACATATTAACTCATTCAATTAGTAGGTACCAAAAAATGACACAGTTATTACAATAAAATTCGTTGACGACTCGACCATTGTCAAGGTTTTTGTCAGTTTTTGTTATGAAATTGCTATTGCCATTATAAGAAATTAGTTTCGTGTTTACAATGCGGGTTTTAATCTATAATTGGAGATTATTTATGCTCTCTGAACATAGTCTGTATTCTTATGGAGTCGGCGGGAAAATTTAAATTAAAATCGCTGTAAGAGGAGTACAGTTGCGAAGTTTGAAAGAAACTAAACGAAAACGCGGTGAAACATTTGCATTGTATTTTTTAAATATTTTAGCATGTGATTTCGCCCTGAAAAGGTTTTAAGATATATTTATAGGAAGTAATACAATTCATAAACTATAACTAAAAATATATTTTATTGAAATAAAAATCAAATCGAATACACTAATTTTATTTATATATTCTTAGCGTGGTCGAAAGTCGCTTGTACTTGGGAGTCATGTAGGAATTTATTGTAATTGGCACTTCCCGTTTCTGCACCTGAAAAAATAGTCTTAGCTGTAGTTCTGGACAATGACTCAATAAATAGTAGTATTTATAAAATTTTGCCAGTTATCATCAATGTAGGCTATATTTGTAGACGGCATACCAGGTCCGTTGACGAGATGCGCGTTACCAATGATGAGATCCTCTGGCGCGCCGTCCCTGCTCTCAGACCTGAAGTTGGCTGGCTGCACCTGTGAACAAGAAAACTTTCTCTAATACTAAATCTTATTATTACAACATTTAATCATGAATAATAGGAAGAATAATTTATTTCTTAAAAAAATAATAATTGTTAAATATATTAACAGACCTGTCCTTCGTTGCGCATCAGATCTGGTGCAACGTTCCCGCCAGGATAGCGGTTGAAGATACCATTAAGATTGTAATGCAGGTTCATGTCGGGACCGATGTTAGCCTTCAATAGCTGCTCCCATATCCCGCCTGCACAAATGTTACGTTAGGATATGTAGTCACAAATCAAAATCAAAAACGCCACGTAATTGTCTGTTATAAAACAACTACTTTACAATACCTTTATCGACGGAGACAATAGGCCGGTTCGACTGCCACGGGTACTCGCCATGGGCTTGGAAGTATATCGCGTAAGTCGCAAGCTAAAACAATCCACTTTCATGAAGATAGAAAAGATTATGTGTCTCGTACTGAAACATAATTGAAGTCATGTTTTACTATAATACGAGTATATTAGTTTATCTTAGGTAGTAGATATTAGTCAAAATGGTAGAAATCAAAGATGCCGAGAGAGACCTGTGTGTAGTAGAGAGCGAGCCAGTACTTGCCGCCGTGACCAACGAATGCGGTCTCGTTGGCGTCGAGCAGCGCTGCTGGTAGCTCCTGGTGCATGGATTCCGGGGCGATGCGCAGGTTGCAACCGTACCTGTAATGGCATCACAAATCCCCAATATTCCCTTTACCGCAAAACTGCTCTCTTGCATTAATTTTAATGGAATTGTCATACTAAATATGACCAGTTTAGAATCCAACTAGGTAATCTGGGTTTGCTACTTTTACTATTAATGAACTGGTTGGGTAAGTCTAAAAAGTCTCCTAGAAAAAGATTTTCAGCCATCAAATAGAATGACTTCAATAATGGCTTTCCTTATTTTTTTATTATATTTAATGAGAATATGCAACAGACCAGTCGGGACAGGCCTTCAGGATGTCGTATGGTGCCCTGTAGTACTCTGCGCGGCGCACCACCGGATTGCGTACATTGAACCGCTCGTTGGGATCTGTCATGTTCACGTGTTTGATCTTGACGTCCCGCCGTTCACAGATGTAGTCGTAGTGGAATTTAGGCACAGACTCCCCTCGAGCGCAATACGTAGCTGACACACAAAATGACACGCAAATTGATGGACATATTCGTCAAAAACTTTATTTTCATTATACATTTTCGGGTATAACATTTATATAATGCACTTACTTTTATAAGTACCATCTAGAGTGTTGACTGCAGCGTATTTGTCAATGCAGTAACGGTAGCCGAGCATGGTCGGGTAGCGCAGGAACGGCACTCGGCATGAGAACCTACCCTCCTGGTACATCGCACCCTGCACGTACAAAATATTAGCACAGTACTATAGCGCAGATAATTATATTATTAAAACAAAAACTTAAAATCCTGACTGACTATGTCGTAACACTCCGGAGAATACGAGTCAAATGCAGATGGCATCTTTTGATTTTATGTTTATAAGAGGTGGCGTTGGAATAAACATCTTATGTTATTTATGTATCGATCGAAGGTTCTAATCAATACTTTGTCAAAGCTTTTTTAACGAACAATATGAACCCATTCAAGTGTAACCTTGCATATGACGCTTCGTCGTCCGGGCGGTCGCGAGACACCGCCGAAGCAGTAAGAGCGGGTGCCATTGATCATTATCTCTGTGACGCCGATGTGCGAGACGAGCGTGATGCCATTGATGCCGGCGAGAGCGAAGCGCTGCAGCCCCGCCCGCTTACGGACCTCCACGTTGTTCTTCATGCTCATCGTATTCACTATCGCCTGCCAGCCGTAAACGAACTCGTGCATTGGTCCTAATCGTTACATTATCTTTAGAATGAATCAACATCATTGGCATAGCATCTCCTTCCATGAGAAAATTTAAATCGGACACATTATCACTGACGTAAACAAGAGTATTAGTAAACAGTGTAATCAAAGCACAAACCTATGCCGAAACTGTCGCCGTCGAGGAAGTTAAACATTTCGCCGAAAGAGTCTGGCATGAGGCCGGCGATTATGGTGGAGGTTTGGAACCCATCCTCTGCTTCCATTGGTGCAATCTCATCATACGGCGTTGTCAGCTGGTGCGACGTTGCGTTGCTGAAGTGACCGCGCCCTTCACTCTACGCAAACCCGACTGCCGCGCTTATTTTATGTAGTTATTTATAACAATTTTATTGTTTTTATTAATAGTCTGCTTAAAATATAGTGTAAGTTGCGTACTGTTGGCTATAATAACTATTTTATAGTGGTATTTGAGCATTTCAAAGGCATATAAAAAATATTTATTTGGGATCGAACATAAAACTTATATCTAAAAGCTATTTAAGGAATGTAAATAAAGCATGTTATCTTCGTGTTAGGTTTAATATATTTACCTTTGTCAACCATGTTGCAAAAAACACAACAATAAATCGCATATTGGACTTCTTATTTCAACAGTACTAATGAATTTTGATATTGGCTTTCATATTTCACGCAGCCGTTGTTACCTTGTTAGAGTAGTTAGTTAACAATAAAACTTGAATGTTCAAGTTAATCGGAAAAATAATTGGTCGTTAGTGTTATCCAGTACTTGTCAAAGGCCATTGTCAGACTTTTTCATTTAATTGTTTGCAATAATCAAAATCCATTATTTTCTTCCTTCTTCAGATTTTAATTCCACAACTACTAAATGCAATAAAAAGGAAGAAAGTTGATAAGCTAATTATGTTTGTATGATAAAATAAATCTAAATATATTATTTCACAATTACATTTATTCAAAAAATCAATATAGAGATATACATTTTGAGAAAATCATCTTAACTCTCATTTTTATCCCAAAAGTTTATCACAAATTTCTAATATAATTATCAATTGTTCTATAAATAATCAACACACCGATCCACAAGTTCACAATAAATATTTTATAAATCACATTTAGTTAACAAAAAATTAAATGCAAATAGCAAATTCTAGTATGTTCATCAATAATAAGATGAGGTACAAAACGAACACATGTCAATCAATAACAATATGTTTGGTTATAAAAAAAAAAACAAGGAGTTGAAATGTTGTAACATAAAAAAAAAGAAAAGTTGTATTCTTCCATTTTGCATCATATCCTATTTCCTATCATGTAAATGAATATTTTCATAAATTGTGTAAAAGTAAAATTTGCTGGGAGAAGTAGAACTTTCAAAACAATTCATTAGTAAATAAACAAATTGAAATTCACTGAAAGGCGAAAAGAATCACAACATTACTCTATTATTATTTTGTATTATAGTTCAGAAACATAAAAGTTAATCAGTCATTTTCTCTTACATTATTTAAGTACTGCTATATTATATTTTAACACTTACCATGGGTTTCCAAGTTCAAAATCTCCATTTAAAACATATTATTATCTCTGTTTTGACAAGATGCGTTATACAGAGATTTTGATGTCAGAAACACATGGTAAGATATTATTAATGCCAATATTAACCTAAATTAGAGTTTTATGCATTAATATCACAAATGGAGATCGTCCCTATATCTAAAAACATGTATTATGTAACAATTATTGTGTATCAAAGACTTTGTAATGTTTAATAAAACAGGGTATATAAGAAAAGGATAAATTGTACTTTTACCCCTGTAAAGTCTGTCATAATAATTCAATAAAAAAATATCAAAATAATCATCTCGGAGTGGGTTTCATTGTTGTGACATTTTTATTGACACATATTGTCATCCCTTTTGTTATTTTACACAAAAAGGAGACAACAATATGTGTCAATGCAATCAATACTGATTGATATCTACTTTAAATTTCATGGTCTGAATCAGTTATGTCCACATCGGCAACTATGTTTGGATTCTCACCCATGTAATCCTGGGGCTCTACCTAGAATAACAATAGATTATTGATTAAGTATAATTCATCAATATTTCTGTATCCATTTTTGAAGCCATTGACTATTTATTCCATTTCAATTTTTATTACACTTCCAATCTTACTAATAATTTAAATGCAAATGTATGTAAGGATGGTTGTTTTTTAGAATGGCTCTAGAATGGCTGTGTGGATTCCATTGTAATTTACATAGATGTAGAGCATAGTCTGGTAGAACACATAGGCTACTAAATAAATTTTTGTGAATTCTGCGGAGACTAAGTCACAGGCAACAGCTACTTTTAACATATAATTAAACTTACCAGTTGACAATCAAAATCGGAAAATGGTGGTGATGGTAAATCAAAGTCAAATTGTTGCTGCTGCAGAAATTCGAATGCATTGGGTTCATCATTCATTTCTTCCTCCTCATTTTCCAAACTCAAATCGTATGGCTAAAAATGAAATGATAAGTTTATGTACATGAATTACAAAATATTTCAATTCTCAGGTTAAATAGTTCCAATGATTCAGACAAAGTATTATAACCTACTCCAAAACATTAGAAATAAAAAGTAACTTAAAAAATATGTTACCTCCGGATTATCAGCATAAATATTTAAAATGTTTTGCATTACTTCTGGGAGATACTCAGGAAAAGTAATGTCCGTCTGTACGGCAGCTAAAACAAGTAACAAATATTCATCATAGATATGCTAAATATCTAATATGTCTCAACAATTTATTGGACTGTACAACTTACCATCAGCTTTCGTGTTTTCTTCATGAGATGTCTCAGATACATCAGATTGGGAAGACATCAAACTAAAAACAAAATGTGCATGATTTATACTATCATTACTATTAATATATTTTATAGTCAATGGATATGTAATCAGTTCCAAATAAAACAAAACTACTTAAAATAATTTTATCGACATTGCAGGTCAGTAAGACCCATATACTACTTTTAATGTCCTAAATGTGGCTTTAACTTTTCTAACTCTTTTTCACTTATTAAGTGCGTACAAAAAATGGCGATTCCTTACTTGAATACCACTTTACAAGTAATCATAGTCACATATACTCATAAATGCTAATGCTGACGGCAATGTATTGATCATATTATAAATAGATTTTATGTTAATTAGGCCCGAAGGTCAAATTACTACATTTATAATCATCTTATGATTTAGGACAATAAAAAGAAGTGCAATAATATCGATATTGTATCTAGCTGTGAGTACAAACTTGCTAAAAATATATGCCGGTGTCTCTCTTAGAACATGGTCCGGCGAAGGGAATTGTGCGTTGGAGTCGCAATTAGCATCAACTACAGATATCTGGGAAGAATTTTCTTCAGCACTTGTTTCAAATAGATCACTCATTTTGCTTTTTTACACCACAGGAAAACCCAAGAAACTAAAAATGATAATTGGAATGAAATAGAAACGGATTGGGAGTTTAGAGAATAGGGGGAAGGGAACTGAAACGAACCGGCGAACCGACGTTTGTTTGACTTTCAACTGTCATTTTTTTGTGACTGAGTAGAGTGTGTCTATTTAAGATAGATTAGTTTGACAACTGACGCCTATAAAATATCGAATTAATTTTTAATTTTGTATCAGAATTAATATTGTACTTAATGGACGGTTGTCATAGTGCCAACCGTCGCGCATAAAGAATAAGTGTGAACTATTGAAAATCGGTCGTGTAATAAAATTAATCCTACAAATAGGTAGTATAATACAAGTATTTTATAACTTTTTGAATTTAGTGCAGGATATGTATCGCAAAATTAATTAAAAGAAATATTTTTTGCGCGTCAACACCGTAATTTTTGGTTTAATGTCTTATTTCTTTACGTTTTTATGAAGGATAAAGCAGGAATAGAAAGAAACAAATTTATTTTTAATGTAATTCAAAATCAATAATCCCGAAATTTTCGATTGCAAGTTCTATCAGAACAACCATCGAAAATCGAAGAAATTCTTAATCGATTTTACTCAACCCAAATCGAGTGAAATGTCAATTGAATTCTCAAACTAATCTATCGTTAATAGACACACTATAGTCACTGTTACATTTACAGCTTCACCGGGCTTGAGGTCACAGATGACGCTTAGCCTGTACTGAATTTCATTGCCATTTTAGACCCAGCTAATTAGCCGATTTCAAAAAGAAGGTTTTCAATTATTCCGTATTTATATTATGTGTGTGCTACCATGTAACTCCGCCCCTGGTTCTCGGAATTTTTTTTTTTTGATCGAAAGGTGTTGCCAGTAGGTTTGTACCATTTTTTTACCAACATAAAATGATGTATAAACGAATTGTAGCTAGGTACGAACTTAAACATATATAAGTTGTAGTGTTGTAGTTGTAAGACATCTCAGATATAAAATGTCAATAATTTACCTCGGCCGCCGCCGACTTCAAAATAACGATGATTGTAATATTTAGATTAACTATTACAAGAAAGTAGAGAAATTTCTTACTTTCCAGGGTATTCATGACATTACTTTGTTACTTTTAGTGCATTTTGTTTAAGAATGATTTTTTTGCTATAGGTGTTTTTTGTTTGTGATTATTTTAATTAAGTTGGCTTTCTTTTTCTCCTATTTTTTTTCTAAAATCGTCAAATAGTAAATCTCTATATATAAAAATCAATTGCTGTTAGTTGGTCTCACTAAAACTCGAGATCGGCTGAGCGCATTTACCTTATCTGGTCATGAAATATTCGTGGAGGTCTAGAGAAGGTTTAAAAGGTGAGAAAAATTTGAATAATTGCCGGGAATTAATTAAGTTTTTTTTTTCATTCCACGCGGACGGAGTCGTATTTTCTCAAATAACTATATATGTAATATGTAACATTATAGCTCAATCTCAACAGGCCCCTGTTTACGTCAGAACGTCTATGTCAGCCCAGATAAGCTTTTCGCAATACACAAGTTGTACGTAAACGTGAAAATCAGTGATGAGTATCAAAATCAAAGGGATTGACGCATAGACCGGCAATAGGGCATCAGGTATCAGCTTTAAAACAAAGTCTCGATCACTACATACATAATTTATTAAGAGTAAGATAGAAAAAAGGATATTACAACGTTAATAACCAAGGATCGAAACGCAGCAATCATCAGTCGAACACATACAATGTGTTATACCACACCATTTGATATTTTTTATACGACAGGAGTTGAAGTTAAAAACACAGTATTTTAAAACATTTACGTATTTTTAAATTATAAACATAAAAAGGTTATTTGTAAAAGGTTTGTTTCGATATTTGATAACACAATTAAAGAATCTCCATATACAAACTTTTACAAATACCCTGCAATTTTACTATAATCATGATAACTTATAATGATACGTAACATAAGACATTTGCCCACATGACAATGTTACATTTTCTTTTAATAATAAAATAATGCCAACTTTTCAAAATTATATAAATAAAGCCCTTTTTTAAGCTGCATCAAACGTCTTTTATATTTATATGACCGGCAAATCGTGCACAAAGTTCATTTATAATTTGACTAGACAAAAAACTATTGCGCAAATTGCGTATCGAATGAATTCGTTAAAAATACTTTTTATATTTCGGTTAAAGGAGACAATTTCTTTTATTAGAGATTTGGGCCCGCCGTTGAACAGTTAGGAATATGTAAAACATAGAGGTGTTCTTTACACTGAGTTTTGCCTGCAGACACTTGCTTGTATTCTCACATCTTGTTTTCTCTGTTTTTCAAAGGCAATATGTGTCAATACAGGTCTCACTGCAGCCAAAAGAGACAAAATTAAGATTATTATGATAGCATAATTTATATGTTTTTAAGGGTTATTGAATATATAATTCAATTTGAGGGTATCAGCCCTTTAAATTTCTTCAGACACTTTATTAAGTTGTAAGATATTTTCTTGACTGTCTTTCTCTATGAACGAATATAGTGGATGGACTCTAATTGAAATGCAAATTGGCGGCGTTGCCGATTTTTAGTCGACATATACCAAAATTGCCTTCCCTACCTAGCAACAGCAACGCCGCGGTGTGCTACCGTGACATTGTCCTAAACTCGTTTCGATTACTTGGTTATTATTAATTTAAGAGCCTATTTCAACTTAGCCACTAGCCGCGCGAACCTAGACATACATTACTCTAATTTTGTACAACAGTCGCGGACGTACAGGTGGAAATGGAACACGACTTTAGGGCGTACACAATATGAGGTCGCGCTCGACTTGCCGCTGAGTTGAAACAGTTACATTGAACAGGTTACAATTCTGAAATATTTTGATTAACAGATCATAATATTAAATTATATGAAAAATAAATTTGTTCTTGATAATAACTAAACAATAGGAACTTAGGAGATAACTTAAAAAAAATTAGCATTAAACTTGAAATTAACTTAAACAGTCGAAGTTTGATTAATAGTATAATTTTACATGATTCTTTCATCTCACCGGTGCGTTTTACATATTTTGTATTATATATGTCATGATGTGAACAAAGTCTGAATTACTTGGATGTAAAAAAAACGAATTTAGATTTTCTATAAGTAATTTAGTTTGTATCTGTCTACTCTTATTAGGACAAAACCTATAGTTTTGAAGATTGGTTATTTTTTTTTTTCACAAAATGATCGAATTTTCTCACCAATTGGACTTAATATTTTGAAAATATTTAATAATTTGGATTTCTCAAATAATGTTCTATAACCCGTCAACAACATAAAGTATGGCGTAAAAGAGAGTGGGTTGACACGCATCTTTGGTATTTCGATGAAAGCCTTTGAATATCCCAGGACCCCGTCATATTCGAGAGGGACACCTAGGGAGTTTTAGTAATGTTTATGTCTCCCCCAGGTAGGATACCTTGTGATGTATTTCCCCCTATACAAAAAAGAGTCCGTCATAACTCAAGGAAATGCACCAGTGAGATAATAGAACTACAATTACAATTAAATCTTAAGAATAGACAAACAAACTAATTCTAGTAGGCCTTTATGCGAAAGAAAACAGCTCCCTGTTGATCTCAATAATAGTATTTCAGTGAAATTCCACTGCGGAAACAGTTGTATTAACACTTTCAATTCCGCTAAGATTTCTTAGTACGGAAGTAAACTCACCGGGCGAGTTGGAGGCATTGAAGATCAAGTTTTTCCGTAATTTTTGTAGAATGATGAATAAAGAGAGGCAACGATATTTACTTTATACTACTGTTTCGACAGTGGTCATCCATTAAGTACTACTGAAGACAGAGCAATACGGTGTGTGTACACATTGTCAAATGCAATTGTAAAAAAAACTGTGATGTTATTTTAAGGCGTAACTGCTTTTCTCAACCTATGCGAGTTTATTTTAGGCGAGATAGATGTGGTGTGTGCCACGTTTTAGGTCTTAATGAGTGATGACTTTAAGACCAATTATCTCCCTCTTTTCTCACACATTTAACTTTACGTGTTATATTACATGAAATATAATTAAACATCCGTATTACTCTGCAACTGTATTACTATAGCGCCTCTCGCACACTACAGTAATGGCGAATATCGAAACGAAAAGCGAATAATACAAAAATAAAGCAAAAGTTTAAGATGGAGACGTCCTATTTCGTTTCGAGTTATAAAGTGATATTGCTGCTTAATGGTTCGCTGGAAAAAACATAATCATTGAAAGGTTCATATTAAATTTGGGATCGTTTCGCTTCTGGATCGCTTTCGCTTTAGTGTGCTAGAGGCTATGAAATCAAAGCAGAACTGTTTAGCGGTTCGTTCGTCACAAAAGCAGAGCACATAATTATAATAATCATTGTCTTATATTTCTAACTTATACGACGATGTCTTAGCCTATATATTCGCAATAATCTAAAGTTAACATTGATATATAAAATAATTAGTTCAGAGAATCGTAGATTCAACAGAAGATGAGATAAAAACTTAACAACTTTCTAAATAAATGCCATCGAATTTAAATGTTCACTTAATTGAATTTTAATAGTAATGATTTAATATAAGGTAATGCAAATATCATAACTAGTACCGCTCTTATGCCATTCATAAGGTGTTGAGTTGAGTTTTTATATGAAAGTGGTTTCAAACGATGTTAATTTATGGCGTTGTAATGAACGCTGGGTTCATCTAGTATATTTTGTAGATAGTATTGCAATTACCTGATATTAAAACAAACATTAAAATACTGAATTAAAATTTAAGTTTTATTTTAAATTATAATGAGGTACATAAGTAGAATAAAACCACAATTTCAATGGTGGAACAAAGTCAATCATTTTGTGCAACAAACACGGTTTAACGGAACTCAAACTATAAAATAATAAAAAAAAACCAACTAGGCTATGATTTTGAAGTATACCGAGAGGCTGGAAAGTATAAGTGTCGTAGATATATTAATGAATAAAAAACTCCCCACGATTTTAATATTTAAATAAATTGACATCCTGCCAGTATTAATTGAATCTGCATGACGTCTTTAAAAAAACATGTCATTTTATTTTTCACAAACAGCAGGCACAAAATGATTGACGAAATATGTGGCCTTCAGATTGAAGATTGAATATTTCGTTAAATATAAAGATAATAGTACTTATTTAAATAATTATTTTACGTGATAATATTTTAAAATGTTAATCTAATTTTAAATTTACGATATTATTATGATAGGACAATGTCATTTTTAGAGTAAAAGTAAAATATATGATAATTTTGGATTGTACTTTGAGTGTTTTGTATGGAATACATTCTACACGAAATAAAAATCTAATTTACACCCAAAGTCCCACGTGAGTAATGTTAACGACAATTAATTATAAAGGGAAGAGTGTTGAAATTCCTTGCCTTCTTAAGTAAAACTTTTAGTAATTTAGTGTATATGTAATAAACCGTTTAAATCTGAGTTCATTAGTATAACCTACATCAATAGTAAGAAATCATCGAACAGTCATACACAATTGGGAGAACAAGGGCCACGTGAGACTTTATCAACGTAATACAGAGTAGTATCCTTCAATTTTTATCAATATCCTATCATAATATAGACACACATGAGTATATGTTGGTACAACAGCTACGTACATTGCTATACTAAACGATAACAAGTCAAATTAAAAAAAAATATATCGTAATTCGCGAATTAAATATTTTTATTTGCAAAACATTATTTGCAAGCGGCTTAATATTACAGGAACAATAACTGCCAGGCGGGAATTTTGCTCAATTGAAGTGGAAGATGCAATGGGATTTTTCGTATTACATTCGTATATAGAAACATCGAAAAATACTTATTTGATATATTCGAAGTAAACACTACCTTGGGTAATATAAGCTCCTAAATTTTATAACCTAAAATATGAAAGATCACATCGAGTTAGGTAAATAGATATAGAAATGGATGTATCTTATACACTTATAGCCAATCATAAAAATTTAATAAAAACTCACTAGATATTTTGGAATACGTTAACAAATTTAAAATAAAAAAAATTTCGTAAAATAGATCACAGTCCAAACAATATTCAAGGATAACATATTGTATACATATTTAATAATATCTAAGGGAGTCGCGTCAGTGGGATAGGCATTAGATGCACTGAAGGTGTTGTTTACATGTCACTTAGGGCAGGAACACGCTAATGTGATATATTTCGTATCTTGTTTCAAGTACGATATTACAGCTATTATATTTTTACGGTCACCAGTGCATCATGAAAGCGCTGCGAAGGATAGCGTTGTAACATAACACTCAAAAAATGGTTTTTAATTCAATAAATGCCGCGACGACACACTAGTGTGTCTCTGCCTTTATTGTGTGTTGACGCACAGTAGTGGACAGTATTATCCCTGTCTATTAAATATAACGACACTTATTAGTACGCTATTACTTTGTTCTTTAGAAAACAAAGTAAGAGAGTACATCTAAAACCTAAGCAAATCAATAATGAAGCAAATAGTTATAATGATTAATCCTACGTACAAACTAGCGACCTCCTCGTGTTTACATTCCGCATATACGATATCATAATTGCAACATCAATCCTATTTCCACCATTCTCCAAATTTCTTCCAGAAAATTGTTACGACATTTATCGAAAATAGCATAAGGACTTAGATTACCTATTGTTCGATAAAACAAATTTTGATCGATCATAAAAATATATAAAAAAAAATTGTAACATACTAAATAAATGCAAAAATTCCGTCCAAACGTAAAGATTAATTTTTAGTCCTCCTTCTGTAACGAAAGTGTTACCAGGCGCCCAGTTTACGGCCCGTGTAAATAACCAAAGAAAAAAAAGGAAAAGTTTATTATGGGATACAGAGTATCTCAGAAATGCTGCAAAAAGACGGAACACCGCCGCCAGCGTTCAGTTGTCGCTCTCGTCTTTTTATTTTATTAAAAATCTTGAGTTCTTTAGACACGCGACGCAATCCGCTATTCACTAAGTGGGCGCCTGTATTTATACCGCACTTTAACAAAGTAAAATCTTGTTTTACTTACTGGACGTATTCCCAGTGACGATAACAGAAAAATTTATCTTAACCGGGTAATATATTTTATAGTAAAAAAAAATGTATAAGTTGCAATAATTACATATAAGCGTGCGTTTACACGGAAACGTTTGGGAATACGCAACATTGGACCGATGCTGACTGATACTTATGTACTAGTGTTTGATCTTTAAAGTCTATGATACAATATCTGAAATTTGGTTGTGCTGAGTTATTAAAACATGTCAAACATCGGTCCATACGCGTATATGTAAGTCACCGACCGATTGTGAATTTAGTCAGTTTATATACGTTAAAATAACAGTTCATTATGTGTTGTTCGTTAACGATCTAATTGCAAATGAATGACAGGAATTTACATTGTAAATAGAGAGAAGGTTATTGTAAAAAATCGCTAAATAATTCACAATCGGCCATTGACATTGCCATATACGCTGTTAAATTTTCTTATTCTATCTTTAAATATATATTATGTAACACCCTAATCTAATACTATCATACTAAAATATTATCTTCTAATATTAAATCGTATACGTATCATCAGTATTCATAATTATTTGGTTGTAATTTTGGTAGTAGCAAATTTTCAGTACCCGTATTACGAAAATTATGTATCCCTAACAGATTAATAAAAATATTCGGGAACAAAAGAGAAATCGTAAGACCTTTAGAGAAATTTGTGTATGTTTTGTTAATTTCTAATCGGCTTTTATTGGGATTTTTTTAAGACCAGAAAATAATATTCAATAAAAGTTTTTTTCGTTTTACCAGTTATAAGATGTAGCGTATTTAAAGTCAAATCTTGCCAAAAATGTTTGAATAGAATCAGAAAAAAAAATGTATTTTGTGTAGAAAAAAAACTTGTTCAAATGGAAATATTTACATTACTGTAGATTTATATTCAGCTCTTAATCTATTAATAATTAAACATTACGTCAATAGGAATATGATATTAAATATTTATAAAGTAAGCTATTTACAAAATTGCGAAATATCATAAAATCTAATGAGAAAGTGACTTTGAGATTGTTTTTCCTTTTATAGCCGAATTCATGAGCTAAATTATATAACATAATAATTAAGAATTTTTTCAAATAATTGTCCAAATAATATAAAAGGTTTAAAATATCAGATAGATCAATAAAACTGTTTAATAATATCACTAAACGTAATAAAACGTAAGTCTAGGTTCAGTCGGGGGTGAATGTAAACAGAGCCATTACTATATATATACATATGTACAAAAAAAATACTATGTAAAGAGAAGAAAACGTGGGAATTATTATGAAAACAGCTTCTATTGCAGATGGAGGCGTTAATACTGATAAAGATGGTTTCAAGTTTATAACAAAATCAACCGAAATTTTTTTTTTGTTAGTTTTTAATTATTTTTTTACGAAAAAACTTGAAACCATTACTGATGTCATATACTATAAGTGAATACATATATACAGATACTTATGGTCTGACAGTTTACCTAGAGATATCGACAAATAGACTTACCTTCTTAAAATAAACTTATTTACAAATAGCAGCCGAAATTGCCACACACAGTTCACCAAAAATCCTTGATTATCTTTATTACCCTCATATTAGCAATCACAATCACTTTACAATAAACAACAAATCTTTCAGCCAATGTCCACTTTTATATACAAGTTACGTGTCATAAATTCGATAAGAGTAAGTCATGTTTCGAGGAAACGTAGTTAGTTTTAATTTCATTGTATAAATTCAGTCTTTATAAAACGTCAAGTCCGGCTAATTTGAAAGCCGATTTTGAATTGCATAAATAAATTCATTAAGTTAAAGCCGTGATATTTTCGATTTAAATTTTGATGAAACAAATGAACAAACAGTCAAGCACTGTTTTATTTATATGAGTTTTTTTTTACGATTAATAAAACAGCGCTTGACCGCGATCCTACCTGATGTTAGGTGAGAAGTCAGTCAATGATGTATACACTATTTTTTACATTAGATTATTTACAATAATATTTTCCTTCAGTGCAAGATGTTGTAGATAAAATTATTCCATTTTGTCATAACAGATTACATGAAGGAAAACATAAATCAATAAATTTATATTGCGTTCATGGGATTCTCGATGATGTTGATGGGAGCGCTGCTCGTTGTGGGACGTTGCCTGTTAAAGACAACATCGGCCATGCTGACCACGCGGCGCGGTCCTTGCCTATTGACTATTATCTCGACTCTGTCAATGTTTTCAGATCCCGAAACTCGCTTCTGGATTTGGGCCAGTGGTGAATTTGTGCGTCTCGTTTCGTCTTGGAAGAAGGCGCTGTCAAATTCCAAGGAGTATGCCTTTGACTTGATGATGGAGAGAAGTGCGGGCAAGGTGGGCTCGTCGATGAGGGAGAGCGGCCGCTGCAGCCGCTGCTGCACGCGCGCGCGCACTGCGCTCGCCAGGCTCTCCCGGGACGACGAACCATTGTAAGACAGCTGCAAGCTCGATGACCCGCCTGCGTTGTCTGCAAATATTTACATGTATTATGTTCATATCGTCGCCCAGCGTATTCACTGCATGCTAATGATGTAACCTAAATGGCATGTCTTGAGGATTAAATTTACTTCTTTAATAAATTGTTTTAGAAACTTCTCTTACTAACATTATAAATGCGAATCTTTGGATGGATGCATAGATAAATGGATGAATGGATGGATGGAGGGATGTTTGTTAGAAGATATCTCTAGAACGGCTGCTTGGATCTCGCTGAAATTTGACAAAGATGTATAAATTAGCCTTGAAAATGACATCGTCTACTAATAACATTTGTACAAGTGCTCTCATTATACTGACCTCGCGGGATGGACGCACGAGGAGAGGGCCCGCCGTCCTCGTCAGTGCAGCCTTCGGAGAGAGTGTCCAACTCGGCGCGGCGCGGCTCGCAACGCGCAACCACGGCGCCGGCACCACTCCCGCCGTTGCGGTCAGAAGAAGTCGATGGAATTGGGTTCTTAAAAATTGTATTATGATATAAATAAGTATGTCTTAGTCAAATACAAATTATTTTTTTGGCAATATTACAATAAAGCCATTGTGGGTACCTTGTTGCTTCGTTATACTAACAGTTTTGCGAGTGTGCAAACAGTAAGGGTAAAACTAGTATGTACATACATTACGTAACATTTCATGACACTCACCGAGTAGAGATCAGAGATGGTTGGTGCAATCGTGTCACCGATCCCCTCTAGGAAGAAAGTGACCATGTTGCCCTTGCCCTTGACGTCGACGTTACCGCGGCAGCGCAGGCGGTAGCCGCGGGTAGACAGTATGTCATAAACCTCTTGCGTTACCTACGATCCCAAAATAGCGAATTGCCACAAACAAAATAAATTATTTTGATTGATGAGAATCAATAGATCAACTGAAAGCTAAGCCGGTTGTAACTTGGCTTACAACAGACTAAGCTTAAGTTTTATAGATTGATTAATTATTCACTAACAGCACAATAAAAATAGTTGATCAAACATTCGCGATTGTGACCATTATTGGGAATATGCGCTTAGCATAAGCGAGTGCAAGTAACATTGAGTAAGTATTCGCAATATTGAGCACGCAAACATTATACGCACAGCCAATAACAGAACTGTGAAAAAATTTACAAATATTAAGAAACAATATGCTAATTACTTACGTGAGGATAGCTTAATATAAACAGTCGATGACATAAGCAATGTAAAACACAAAAATTCACAATTATAGGTTCCTTAATAGTGATATTTTTAATGAGTGTGAACTCAGAGTCTCGAGTTGTAAGTAGTTGAGAGTATGTCAATTTTATAAGTTAGAAAAACTCATTGAAGGCACAAACTTTGTAGCCGAATCTCACCTGGATGTGATCTGGTAGCCCGGTGGAGTCCATACGAGAGGCGACGTTGACGGCATTGCCCCAGATGTCGTACTGCGGTTTGCGCGCTCCGATCACCCCAGCAACTACGGCCCCGATGTTGATGCCTGTTCAACAATAAATATTTGTTGAGTCGCATAGTCAGCCCTACACTTGCCTAACACTTTCTCGAACGAGTTACCATTTCAAAAGTTAAGAAAATTGCAGTAGCGGCAGAGAATTTTACTACAATATATTCGCAATTCGCAATGGCTTATAGAAAACGCAAAGCAGCATTGTTTCTATGTTATTGTTATATTTATGTGCAATCTTACCTATCCGGATGCGGAAGCTGTTGAAGGAATGTTCGTTGACGTATTGCAGCTGGTCGCGGAGACGCAGCGCGTAGTCAGCCATCGCAGTCACGTGTCGGTAGCCGATCAGGTCGCGGGTGGCTGCCGTCAGACCTGATCACCGGATACATTACATTTTATAATTTTTCAATAGAAACATTCTCAAGGATGTTTAACAATCTTTATTCTGTTTTGTGTTCGTACATAATTTTTGGCTTACCACGTATGTATAAGACTTTAAAATACAATGAGTGGTTTTTATGAATATTTATTAATTTGAATTAGTATACCTGAGGCGGCCATGTAAGTAGCGCCGGTACTTTTGATCTTCTCGATGTATCTGAAGCGTTCCTCGGCCAGGATCTCGTCAAAGTCCGCGATGATCTCGTTAAGAAGACGGAGACATTCCACACCCTCGTTGTTGCCCTCGAGCTCCACGTAGAATTCAGAAAAGTTCGGGATCGAAGCGAACATAACGCACACTGACTCGCACTGCTCGTGGTACAGTTCCTAACGAAATTAAATAAGAGGCTAAATAACAAATTGTTAACTTTATTGAAAGATTTTCTGAAGACGATCCATATAAATAAGTAAACGTTATATTTCCATATGCGTTACACACGTGCGACCATTACTTACATCGATGTTCTTGTCGCTGCAGAGGAAGTGCTGGGCGACATGCTCGGGCAAGATGTTAGCCAACAATTTGCGATTGTATGCCTCTAGGTGTTCCATATCTTCCTTTTCCTCTGTAACGGCGCCGAAAATATAGACATAATATCAATATGAGATTAGAGATAAGATTTGCGTAAGAAAATTTGTGAAAATAAATTGTGGTCTTGAATAGTTTAAGTCCGGGAAGATACTTTCAGTAGCAGTACTTGTAACTTATGAGTATTCTAATTAGCCATTATATTACCATTAGCCTGTAGTTTCCAGATGAAATCGAGGCGGTAGGTGCTTTCTGTTTGCTGGGAGTGGAGTAAAAGAGCAATCGTTGCACCGATAGCTGTTACGATGTTTATCCATTGCTGGTTCCAGTCGACGTTGCATTTGTTTCTGTCAAGTTGATCGTCAATGTTTATTTATTACAAAATAAAAGAATATATCACATATCAGTTTAATATGGTGACAATGACTTACTGGTAGTCGAGGTAGTTGCCTTCGAAGTAGAGATGCTGGTGCGCGGTGATGGCGACGTAGGTGAAGCAGGTGACTGCCAAGAGGATGGTCTTCACCATGGTTATCAGGATCTGGTGCACAGCGCACACGAACATCGCTATCAGAGTCAACTGTAGGTAGTACTATAAACAGAAGACAACAAATATTTTAAATTGATATTGTAACTGATTATAAAATAACCAGTAAATTTTACAGACAATAATTAATCACCTCATTAAGGTCATGGGTGCAATAATCTTCCCGCGGCGTGTACACCTGAACGTTGTAGCGAATGCTCGCGTCCATCGCCTGAAAATTAAGAAGACATGGTGCTAGATTTAAGTACTTCCTCGGAATGTCTTAGGGCTATAGGATATGGAGACCATAGATTTTTTTATTATTTACTCGTATATTCGAGGTTTCATCAGTTAAACAAATTTGTTGGTGGACATGCATAGATAAACTATAAGTAGACTAAAGATATGACGACACATAAAAGTAATAACTCACCATGATAACTTGAATCTGCATGACAACGGTGCTGACAATCAGGAAGGATATCAGTTGGGCTAAGGTCCGGTTGCTGTGGATGCGGCGCGAGGCTTCCTTCGTGCGGGGACTGGTACACTATAACATTTACGTCAATTGCAAAGATTGTCTCGATGATACCTGTGCCATTGGTTTTCAAGTAAATACGCAACATTTATTTGAAAAATTGGATTCATAATAAAATGGAAATACATTAACGAGAGACAGGATCTGTCATTTCCATATCGTTTGGGATGTGAAATGCAGACGCTGTCTGCCACTAACGTTTGTTTTTGCCGAGAAAAATTTATATAAATTTACAGCAGTATTACGTAAGGCTAAATTTAAAAATACACTTTTGTTCAAATATGGTATTTTGTTGTTTGAAAATTTATAGCTTTGTCTTCTATTTAGGATAGAACGATATAGTTCTTAGGTATTAAATTTAAATTTATGTTGGCTAGTAATCTAAGGTCTTACTTTAAAATCAATGCAAAGGATGACGTAGGTGCAGCAGAGAACGATGATGCAGCCGGTTGCGATAGTCGTAATAACGATAGGAGTGCTGCAAGAAAAGATGCAGTTCTTTGATTTTAATCTGTTAATAACATATTATTGCATTTCATGTTATGATATTACATCTAAAACAGTCGATAGCACTAGGGGGACAAAATCAACGCAAGTTATAAAGAAATTAGCCAGGTATTTGCTGGAAATCAGAAAATTTGTGCAAAATAACATTTATAATATGTAGGATAACTTACATGCCGAAGATAAATAGTTGAATGATGACAATTGCGATGTAGACAACGACGGTACATATGAAATATACCTTCAGCATTCGGTCGGGTTCATTGGTGTACTGTAAGGAAATTCATCTCACTGAGCACGATCTTGTTATTGAAGATGTTATGTTATTGATTGATTTGCGCATTCTACCGTTTACAGGAGTACGTATAAAACTCAACGACGAAGGTACATTAAAATGTTCTTGTAAGTAACGGTCTACATCTATCTTCATCGGATATTCCACTTATCCGTAGTCCATGAGCATCACATATTATCTTACACTTGCAGTATTGAAGAGCCTTTCTCGGCTTTACAATTAATTATATGTTATAGGATTAATAGTGTCGGAGTAGTTCTTGATAAGATCTGTAATGACTGTCACTCATATGGGGCCCGATATAATTAGTATGAAGTGTAGTAGCCACTGAGTGTGCATGTGAAAAAGTTTACCTTGCATTCTAAGTTCCCGTCCCGGAAGATGAGAGTGAACGGCTGGCAGTGCTCGGCGCGCAGACGGTCGATGGATCGCGCGTCGATCGCTTTCATCAGGTACTCGTTCACTTCGTCCTCGGGTTTCTTATTTTCATTGTTTGTATCAACCCTATTCGAAATGTTAATAAAAATAAATCTTATAAAATTCTGCAAATGCAATTTTAGAGATTTGAATAATGTTTATGGAGCGTTTTACAGGTTGAGTTTTTATAATTAAAAGTCCATATATCCAAACAATTTAGTTAAAAAAAAACCTTAATTTAACATAATTTCTTGATAATCGTTTGGGTAACACCATTGATGACTATTATAGCGAACGTCATGTCGCGCGATTTATGTTGAATAACTATTTAGTTTTCTCAGACAGAAACTGCTTAAATAGTATATCACAGGGTCGCAGTAGTAACTTCAGTTTAATATCGCGCCACTCCGTTCTGTGTGATTGTGGCGACGTTGAAACTTATTGGTGGGAAATGTCGTCGACATTTTCACAGTATTTGAACGTGGGATCTTAAAACTACAATATCGAGTCGTGCTAACATTTCTCCCGAATTTCCTTCCTTTCTTAGCCCGACTCTACCGAAAAGAAAGATATAAGAAATGGCCGCAAGGGAAAGATCTCAACTTAATTGAAATTGAAAAGTTGCGTGCCCTGTGCACTCTGACCGAGCTCGCTGTCTTAAAAAATAAAAACAGGACGTAGGAGAGAGGAGCGAAAAGTAAATTAATTTGAAGTTGACTTTATAACTTTTCCATTATTTACTTTTATCTTCATTTCTTATTTGAAACGTAAAAGAAAACCAACACGTATTTTGTATAGTAGCATACAATTTATAACTAGATTAACTTTATGACCTTCGGTTTTCTAACAACGTACAGAATAGAGTAAAATACTATGTCGGGAAACATATTCTCTTGTATTTTCATCTTAAAACAAACAATTTCGTTTAAAATAAGTAAAATAAATTTTATTGAGTTTAATAAGGATTACGTTAATTATAAAATGAAGTAAATTAGATTTTACAACAGCAATTACTAAACGATCGAACGATTTACACGTTAACATAACGACTCAAGACAAATTGTTTTAGCCAAGTTAAATGTTACGCGTCTTTAGGTAATAAAGACAAACGAACCGTTGTCCTGGAGCGAATGAACGGGATTTGTTTATCGAATAAATTATTTGTTACTAGATAAAGCCCACGGCTTTGTTTAGAAAAGTATATTGAGTGTTTGTTTTAATTTCAAACTAGCGTGCTTAAAAAAGAAATTAGGTTTAACTAAAAATATAAATAAAAACAGACAGTTAGTTAGTTGTCGGTCAGAAATTGCAGTTGTATTTTGTATTTTAAATATACATATATATATTTTTTTTGTTTTTTTTTATCAACTTTCAGCTAGATTGATAGATCTATTGTACTTCCTAAATCTTTCGCACCATGAAATCTAAAGGAAGTTTCGCATAATTTCTTGATGATAATATAGTATACAATATTATACAATGTACTAACTTAGATGAATGCTTCCCATGTTGCGATCCGTGTCCCATGACGCGCATTTCCTTCGACACATTGCCGTTGGCGGCCGACGGCTGCGCTGGTTTCGTGTCCTAAAACAAAACATTAGGCCGTTCAAATCATTCTATCCCTTAACATACACACTCGCAGGGCCTTTTCACAACTAGAATTTCTTTAAAATAATATTTCAGAAGTACTTGTGTATTCAGAAATAAAGTATATATTATTTTCTCGTAAAATGAGCCTTCATAGTAAATTCTGCGAAGCAAAGGGTTTTAACTTTATTGCCAGGATTTTTGCTTTTTCTAAAATCATAAACATTGCTGATACAGCTGTCATGTTTTCCATAACTTTAGTAACTTATTCATTCGTGTGTATTGATAAAGATAAATATATATATTTTTATATTCATAATTAATGTAAATAAATTTTAATAACAGTAATTTAATAAAGTTGTTGTATTATATTTAATACCGTGACCACATAGAACGCGTGAAGCGTGAAGAAAATACTCCCCACATTTTAGCGCCTCGTCAGACGTGTAATAAAAGAACTTACAACTCGGCTGGTATCGTCAGGTACGATGAGGAAGGTCTCGATGTTGTGGTCCTTAAGGTAGGCGTTCCTCTGGTCGCCGTTGCCTGGCTCCACTCGGTAGTCATCACCGAGGCACTGCAGGGTCTCGCGAGTGATGTGCACTCGTCTGTACACGTACCGCATATGTAATATAAGCTTTTTAAAGACAGCAAATATATGATGTTACCAGTGAAATGAAAGGCTCACATATTATATATATGAATGATCCACAAGTGGTATACAAATGTTATCTTACCCAGCGAGGCCGCCACTCTCCATGTAGTTGGCGAGGGTGACGTCATTGGACCAGACGTCGAACTGCCATTTGCGGAGACCCAGCACGACGCAGTGCACTCGCCCAGTGTGGATCCCCACGCGCATGTTTACGTTCACACCGGTTACTTCGCGGACCAGACTGCATAAGCCAAACAGAACCTTATAAATAAACTTAGAAAATTACACAAATTCCATAAATTAAGATATTTTAGAACGACAAAAGCCAATATTATACGGGTTCCTTTCTAGACCAAAAGATCAGGTCAGACGAAAAATGTAATAGAACTAATCAAAGCAAACTATGTGTATTTTGATCATTAAATTGAAATGTTAACAAGTCACAATCCTGCATTGTTTTGTTTCAGTTTGGTTCGTGAATTGTACGGTAGTGTTCGTTAAAATGTCAAACTGCCATTTAAAACTTTTTGAAACGTGCACTTCGTATTTGTGAATAGGAATATCGAGCCAGAAAATAAAATTAGCACGGATTTAATTGAAGTTACAGATTTCAAACAATTTAAGATAAATTCAAATGTTAGCTTTGTTAGAACTGTCCATGGAATGGAGGATATTGAAGAATGATGTTCCGTTGCAAGCTTGCATTTACGCAGGCTTTTACCGGTTCGGAATGTAATTACCAGTACAAAGGACTGCATTAGGCGGCGTTTCAGTAAAATACTCGTAAATGATTTCAACAAAATTGTCAGTTGGAGTAAAATCCTTGTTACCAAGCTTAGACGGCTTATTATTTACTGTAAAACTCTACTGACGATAAGTTGTGTTATTATAAATAGAAATAAAGGAATAACAATATATAATAATACAAGTGTCACGTCATTCGAAACTCAATGGTACGTAATATGTTTAAACAAAGTAACTACGTAGTTTGTGGATATAATCAATACCTAGATTTGAGTTGTAAAGTTTTATAAATAAACTTCTACTTGTATCACTCTGATCATTACCAACTTCTACACATTTTGTTATTGATAAATAGTCACAGCTCTATTTATAACGTTCTTTCTCTACGAAGAATGTACGTTTTCAATAGATTTACTTTTCGAATACGAATGACCCCACTTTGCACTTAAGATTTGACATTTAACATTTTATTACGGTGTACTTTTTATTTGATCCAAAAAAATGACGTAACAGTATCATTTTATTGAGAACTAAAAATGGTAGAAATATACTGTAACTTAGATATGTGGAGTCACACATTGATAGACCTAAGGTGAAGGACACCTGCGAGAAAGGGCAGCAGGAAAGACTACTGAGATGGCAATTAAGAAAAAGATTGAAGAAATTCAAAAATACCTAATTAAGTGAGGTCATTTGGGATCCAATGGGAAAGGTAGGCAGGTAAAAAATAAGTAAACGAGCAAGAACAAAAGAAAGACCAAAAGACGGATTGTTTGAAAGAGGATACGCATATGAAGTAAGTGAATTTAGATATAAGGGCTGATGCAGATGTATGGAAGAGTAGTACATACTATACCGACCCTCTGTAGGGATAAAGTATCAGGAAGGTAATGTAGTGAGAACAAATGAGATGAGAAAAGAGTTATATGATTGTAAGACTCACGCAATGGCATCAATCATGTCGAGGCCCATTTCGACGCAGCACTTGGCGTGGTCGTCGCGCGCCTCCGGCAATCCCGAAACGCAGTAGTAGCAGTCGCCGAGGAGTTTGATGCGTAGGCAGTGGTGTTCAGCAGCCAACCGGTCAAAACTGCATTTATAAATAATCATATAAATATTAGATCATGAGTAATTCCAAAACAACTGCACAAATCGCGATGGGAACCAAGATGCTTTGGCATAACGGATAAGGCACTAGTTATATCGGTTGGTTTGAATTCCAACCGGACGATGTAATTGGCGATAGTTAATAAACATCTAAACAGCTTCTATAAAATCCTATACCTTTGTGATTTTATTGGACAATAATCTGAATAATAATGTAAGTTCATTGAGTCATGATACCGAATCGGCTTGTTTGAAGACATTTGAAGTATTCATATTTAAATAAAATGATGTTTAGTTGGTGTTGGTGTGTTTGAAGCCATCATTTATTAATTAACACTGTTAAAAAAACACGAATCCATTTTATTTTATTATAAAATTACAATTTTAAATGATGATAATGAAATAATAAATAAAACCCGGTTTCGAAACAACTAATTCTGTTAAAACTAAAAGCATTTTATGCAATTTAATAAGGTGGTTAGTTATCAGATAAACTAAAGAAGTTGCTTTAAAGTTAAATAAACTTTGACTTACGAACATCGTATCAAACTAACTCTGTGATGGGAACCACCGCGGATTTGGTGGTTAACTTTCAAATCTGGATCTATAATTCTGATGAATGCTAAGCTAAACCAGGATTATGTTTGTTTTACAATCTTGTAAGTTTCAAGCGGTTTTCAAATAATTTAAATAATATTGAATTCTTAACACTGTATAATATAAAATTCTATAATTATTTAAAGTTAAAATATAATTTGTTTAAATATATTTTATAGAGGGTAACGTATAGTGTATTGTTAGACGAGAAGCGCATTGCTAAAATCATTTTGAAAGCCGTTCCAATAACATTATTACGAGCGTTGCGTTATAAAATGCTTTGTTTTATAGGTAATGCGTACTGTAACGAGTTTTATAGATTTATTAACGCCGTGAATAAATAATGAGATGAGCCGGTCCGTGGGGACGGAGAACTCTCACAGCCACCTTTATAAATTGTCTGCGTGTAGACGGGTGGACTCTTATTACGTTCCCTTTTTAATGTTAAAATTATTATTACGTGTTACCGAAATTTTCTGCGTTTTCATTGGCCGTTCAATTTGAAGACATTTTTATTTTTATTTTTGACTCACAATTGTTTAAAAATTATCATTATATGTATAATATGAAAATATTAAAACGGAAAATATAACAAATGTTCAATGACTTTAAAGCGGTAACATAAAAAAATAAGCGAAACAATATTAGAAATCTTTTATTCTTTATTAATTTAATATTTGTAACAGGAGAATACTTTTTATTTTGTTCGTAGCGCGTATTCTGATGTCGATAAATAAAGAGAATTGAAAAGGTTGCTTTAAGGAAAGAGCACAATACCATGAATAAACATGTCGGAAGGTAAATTAATTGAAATCTTACTACAATGAGAGAGATGATTTAAAAGACTATTCATCAGAAACGACGATGTCCTCCAACACGCTCGCCCAAAATACTCTTTATGTAATGTATATTTTCTGTACCGCTAATACGTAGAAATAAATAAAAAAGCAACTCCATTCTCACATTCATAGATTATACAAATCAGTCGCAAAAAACCACAACAAATGCTCTTTGATTATTTATTTTGTTGCACGATTTAACCACACAAATTTATAAATTGGAAAAAATCTTCAATAAATCGCTACCAGACACAAAACTAGCATACCAAGATCAAAAGAAAATCTGAAAACCGTATGTCTGCTAATTTTTTATTTGTAATATTTGATATTAGGAGTAATAATTGCTAGGGAATATACAATTTTCAACGGCACTGTATTAGATGCTATGAGACCGACTAAGTCACAAGGGAGCGAAATGAAAAAAAAATAACGTCCTAGCTACTAGTGAGTAATTTAATCACTCGACCCGACCTTTCAAACTCCCTTTTATTCTCTCGTGGCATGTCTACCAATTACATAAAGTACATATATGCTTTTGTATATAAATATGATTTTCAATAATTTACAAAGCAAAATCTTTTAGACAAATAACTCTAGGGAATGGAAATAAGTAAAATGTAAAGACAAATAGCGGATTCTAGTTATTACATAATAATAACATGAACAATGAGCATAAAAAATATATGCCTTTCGTATAACTGATAAAAAATACGTACAGACTAATAAATAAAATGTATTCGAACATTCGACGGAATATTTGCAGTCAGCGTTAGATCTTTGTTAGACTAGATAAGGCCAGGCCATACGCTGTTTTAACATAATCATTTGTATAAACAACATTTTCAAAATCGCATTCCAATATGTCATAAATATATCTACCTTCTGGTTACCCTTATTCCATTTTATTTTCGTTCACCTTTTTTTCTCCGCATACATATTTATTTTGTTTATACCGATTTTATCCGTTCTTTGCTTAGGTTTGAATCTTATTTACATTCATCCCTACTTCTTTATACTGTGACACTATTAGTTGTGCTGTTGTTTGCTAACAAATTGCTTTTCAAGTGTATCACTCTATATCCTGGACATTCTCTTTTAACTATAGTATTAGTCATTTATTTAGTAACATTGCATCCATAAAGATATTTAATGGCCTCTGAAATCTTCCCTTAGTGTAGGTTTCTCAAACTAAAGCTAACACTAATTACAAACGTCTGGATTTAATACCCATATAAAAGCCTTTTACAAATTCATTGCTTACAAAAATTTAAACTAACCTAAATAGTATAGAATAGTCGAGGTCGAGTCGTAATTACATTTACTCATTTAAATGGCTAAAAATGTTATCTGTTGTCTATGGATTTATTCTGGAAAGTTTTAGTGTTTAAATTGATGATACAGATGTATATGTTATTAATAAGTTGTAATCAGCCTCAGAAAAATAAAATTATTTAGATGGATAGTTATAATTTCTTATTTCTATCAAAATAGACTACACCATCCCAAGTATAATGCTCGAGTTACACAATATATTATTATATTAAAAGTAGCTTTAATGTCTTTATCCCTTTTCATTTTACGGCGCCATATATCTCGACGTAACCTTATTTAAACACAAGGTTCACCCTTCTTATCTTATCTAGTGGTTATTTATTTACATGTACAAGATTTCGCAGATCCCTAAACAAAATATAGTATTAAATATAAGACCAATCCTAATGGAAGATATTTAAGGAAATATTAACCTAAGTATACATTGTGGCGAATATTAAAAATGTTGTAAGTCGTATTAAAATTCATAAGAGCGTCGGTGGCTCAAGGGCTAAGCACTTGACATGCAATCTGCAGATCCTGGGTTCGAATCCCGCCATGTACCACTGTGCTTGACAATATTCGATTTACATATGAACATTTATCCGATGTTCTTACGGTGATGCAACCTGCACATATCTGCGAAGAATTTCACAGATGTTTGAGGTCAAGCAAACTCCACTAGGCTACTAGGTTGACTATGACCTAGTCACTCTTGACTTAGGGTACATTTAGTGAAGTGATGATGATGATATTAAAAGTCATCTGAGCACCTACTAGGTATGTATTAATCAGTTCATATTTGTAAGTAGATGTATTAGTGCAAAAGGGCAAGCTGGGTAAACTTTTCCTTTATGTTCTGATTGCTGTTATCTTATTTATATTTATATAAGCAAGTACAATGTCTTCGTTGTTATTATTCAGTTAAGAATGTTTTTATTAACTTGAATTATGGCTTTCACTGAATATCAACAATATTATAATTAATGGGAAATACATGTTATCAGTACAGTGATCTCGTAAGAGTTTAAATATAATAATTTGATACATTTCATTACTTTGAAACAATTCTTGTATATTTTTATCACATTTACGCAACAACTGAGAAAATATCAATAATACAAACGTCTATTCTCAAAAGCTTTTACATTTGTTAGAGTTAGTAAAAGTAAATGTAACATTTTAATGAAATATAGAATACTCGACTAGTATAATATAATTAAAAGTGAGCACTGACCGGGCGAA